TGTAAGTGTTAGAGATTTTGACAGTCTGTGCCCGACCTGAAAGGTAATTTTTTATAAGGATTTTCCAATCTTTCCATAACTTTCAGAAGCTCGACATGGTTAACCGTATGAAAGGCATTTTGTAGTTCAATAAAGATACCAATAGTAGGTATTTTTTGTTGACATTAGAGTTAATTTCATCCATTGCAGCCAAAATTGCGTCTGTAGTAGATTTTCCTTTTCTGCGTATTGGTCAGAACATATAATATTGTTTTTGTCCAAAAATTGTAATATCCTTTCTTGTAGTAATTTTTCGAAAATTTTGGCTATATTCGGTAGTAGTGATATGGGTCTATAATTTGATGTTTCCATTCTGTCACCGCTTTTATAAACAGGAGTAATAACTTGTTTTAAATGCATCAGGACAAATTCCAAATTGGAAACACCAATTAATGACGTAAGAAAGTGGTTCGGCTAAGTCGTAGGCTATTATTTTTAAATGCTCAGCTTTGATACCATCTATACCAGGACTTTTTTTGGTTTTAAGTGATAGGACTGCTTCTTGTACTTCAATCGGACTAACGCTTTCTAAAAAGAATGAATTGGGAATTTGGGTTTTTGGGAACATGTCGTTCAAAATATTTTTTTAATACTGGCTGCTAAATTTTCTCCAACATTAGTGAAAAAACTTATAAATGCATCGGATATTTGTCGTTTATCTGTTAATATTGTTTCATCACGATTCTTAATTTCATCAATATTTGGCTTCACTTGAACGTCTTTGTTAGTTAAGTGATCGACAACCGACCACAGTTTTCTTGGATCAGATTTGGCATCTTGTAATTTTTTTAGATAAAATTGGCGTTTTGCTTCTCTAACTAGATTTATAAAAATATTTTTATATTCATTATATTTACGGTAGGTATCTGCACCTTGTCATGCTTTCATCATTTTGTATAGTTCCTCTTTTTTGTTGGCAGACTTTATCAAACCTTTAGTTATCCAGGGATTCCTGCTTATGTCTAAATGTTTAATTTTAACTCGGTTAGTACTACATTCAATTAAATGCTCTATGCGTTCAATGAGTGTGTTTGCAGCACATTTGTTGCACAGTACATTGCTGTCCACGATTCTAATTTGATATTGGCAAGTATTTTTTTATTATCGACATAACACCAAAATTTCAGTGTTTCATTATTGGAGGTGGATCTACTATTATTTTTTTCTGGCGATAATATAAGTATTACAGTGGAGAAAATGATCGGCAATATGGTTTTCAACAATTAATCGTATGTACGGAAAGAAATTGGAAAAATGTTTGATAAAACAATGATCAATGCACGAACTAGAACTATTATTGACTACTCTTGTTGGTAAATTTATATGTGATATGAATCCATTGCTCTGCGTTACAGTGAGGTATTTGTTTACTAATTTGGTATCTTGCAAGATATTAATATTCATGTCTCCAATTATGATGTGGTGTGACTGTATGGCATTTTTGTTATCTAACAAAAATTTTCAAGATTTTCTACAAATGTATAAGTGTTTGATGATGGTGTTCGATAGAAAGGTGTGACTTTTACACCTTTGTTATTAATTCTCAATATCAAATCCAACGCTGTGATACCATAATTAAATTTTACAAAATCACATCTGTAGTTGATATCATTTCTTACATATACCACCACCCCATCATTCTGATTGTACGTACCATTATTGTAAAGCATATCATAGCAATCCAAATAGAACAAAGATACATCATTAATTTGCCAAGTTTCTGTTAATATAACAAATAATAGTTTAAAAATCTAAAAAAATTAGAAAATAATTTTTAATTACAAAGAGTTTATATTACAGTAGTAGATGGTCGAACAATCAAACATAATTAATCATCTCAAAATAAAATTTAAGTTATTAACAGAATAATTCAATTCAGAGTAAAGAGCGTAGGGTACTTGGTATAACATATTAAGGGCCAATTTCACCAACAACAGTCCGTTATTCTCCACCTATAGGGTAACAGACCGTCAGATACAGCGAATGAGCTTCAAGATCCAATCAACAAATTTTAGCAACCAATAGCTATGAAATGTTGAAAACAAAATACTGTCAAAGTATGAGATGACAACTTGTCATTGAAACATCACGAGCTTATTGAATATTAAGAAATTATATATAATTCAGTCAAAATTTTAAGAAATGTTTGATTTGTGAATTAAATTCATGTTTTAATTACTATTGTTGATTTTTTATTCACGTTTATATTATTTTCTTCAATTGATATGTGATACTGGGTGTTTTCTCCCATAAACCTCTTGCAGATAGCCATTAAGCACCTACTTGATGACAGGCTCTACCAAAAGACATTGCTCGTTTCCAAACATTTATTCATTTACTTGCCATTCATCAGAACCATTGTGGCACCTTAGATTGATATTCCCACAAAACCATTCAGGTTTTTTGATATCCATACATCCATAAAGTTGAATATTTATCGTTGTTCAGGAACTGAACAAACATCCACACTATATTCACAGCGATTAAGAAATTCCAAAATATATGCCTTAAAGCTACCAGCAAACCTAAAACCTGCAAAAAAACTACAAATTTGCCATATTTATTATTCTTTTTTCACGAGTACACATTCTAGGTTAGATTTATATTAGACATTATTTGAATACAGCTTATTATTGCATTTCAAGGAGTGACACATGTGTCTGATCTGTCAACTCTTGGTACCTGTCACAAAACATATACTCTGAAGGTTTAATTCCATGCTATTCAATGACAACACGGTGACTTGTGTGGTTGTGAGCGGCCATTTTTTGAGGATGCAACATGGTTGCCAGATTGTGCATTAATATCCCGTTTCACCCCCCTGGTCCCAGTGGAGTACGCTCCGCCAACTGTTGAAATATAATACTCTACTGTGCTTTATAAGACTATTCGTGGAATTTTTCCCAAAACCGTTGCACAACACCTGAAAAAATGAAGATGAAAATTTAAAATTATTTCCATGACGCCCCAAGATAGCTGCGTCGGTACCTCGGATTATACATCTTGACAGTACGGATGTTCGATACGATCCTATATTTAGAAGTATCGATACTTTTGCTTCCCATACCCGATATTTTGGATCGATATTTTAATATACGACACTTGGGTGTATCGATACATTTCACGAGTATCGTCATCTTTCGATCCGGACTGTGTCAGAAAGAGTGACTGTCATTTGGCTGCGACATTACCTTGCCAAATCAGACATATCTTTCAGCATTTTCAAAGAAATTGTACAAAATCTTCAAATTTGTGAAGTTAGCGAATTTCACTTGATACTTTGTTACCAGACATGCCCAAACCATCAGTTGCTGCCGTGATATTCATACCGACCACTGCATCCCTACGGCTAGGCGACCTGTATGTTAAATTTGTGTTGATAGGGCAGCGGATTATGCTATAAATCATATGTCACAGTGATTGTGCACTGATTGCAACGGTTAGATGATACCAAAAATATTTTCATAAATAGGAGATCTTTCCCATTCCGGATCGAACAATTTACCAAAGATGCTTATAATCATGATACCTTGTAAATTTTCACGAAAAAATTTCAAAACCAGCAAATGTAAAGGATTCATTTCGCACCCTCCACCACAGGACGTGATCGTCGTTAGACTTGGCAACCCTGCGAGTCACAGATAGATATCCCCGCCAGTGCACCAGTCAAAAAGACAAACATTAAACATTACTAGTTTTTATCATTTTTGGACTTAAAAGACATTATTTGTGAGACATTTTTCATATTTTTTTGTCTGTGTCCATGAATGAATGAATGAAACTTAAAATTAGAGGCATCCCGGCCACCATAAGGAGCCAGTGCATAGGCCGCTTAAGCGGGCCCTTATGCACCTCTACAATATCTGTGTCCATAGTAATTGTATTACGCATCACGGAGATGTAGGGATTGACTCGTCTTACACATATTATCTGTGTTTTAGGATGGAGAGGACAATGTTTTTATTGCTTTGAAGAAATTCATTAACCCATAAATTAATAAATGATTACTATTATGATGTAAAGGAAGATGAGGAATTGGATGGAATGTATTTTATATTCTATTTTCTTGCAAAATACAGACAAATCACTATTCAACAGGTATGTAATGATAACTTTCAGTATATTGAAGTTGGTAAATTCGAGAGTGCCATGCATTAACAAACGTCCAAATGTGCTGCCAAATTTAACAGCTAGAAAATCGACCTATTATTTGCCGCATTCCCATTCGCTGAGGGGGATAACGGATTGTTAAATGTATATTTATAACACAAATCAAAATACATGAAAGTTGTCCTGTTTTTTCTGTACAAAAGCATCATGTTGGAATCAAAAAGTGCTCTTGTTTATAATACAGTCGAATTTTCACGATTTTATTCAATATTTCAATAGAAATCACTAATATTCTAAGACCTTTGACAGCTTCTGTCAAATTGCATTTCGATAAGGTATTTTCCCATTGGTCCCTAATATTAATGTTGGTGAAATCGGCTCTAAATGATACAATCATTCTATTGGCTACTATCTATGAGGGAAGAGTCGTGAAGATTTAGTAAAATTCACTCCACGCTTTTTACTCTGAATTGAATTATTCTGTTAATAACTTAAATTTTAATATGATTTTATTTTGAGGTCATTAATTATGATTGATTGTACGACCATCTACTTGTGTAATATAAATTATTTTCAACTAAAAATTATTTTCTAATTTTTACTTCGGTTAGCTATAAAAAACTATTATTTATTTTTCATTTTTTAGTTCATTCATCAATTAGTTTTTTGTGAACCTGTCATGATATTGCCTTGTCATCGGTCCTTGAAGTGCGAAGTTTCAAATTAATCAAAGTTCTGGAAATTGGTGAAAATTATGCTCAAAGATTTTTTTACATACATACGTAGATACATACATACAGGTCAAGCTAATAAAAGTGTGTTGAAAAAATAAAAAAAGTTATACCACAATCTGCCTCCTTTGAGGAATGAACTCACGACTCCTGCCTTACAAAGCCAGTGCTGTGCCACTGAGCTACAGAAGCTTGTAGCTTCGGTGTTCGTGAAGCGGCATTTGAAATCCGTTGCTTTTTATTAACATATCTGTTTTTTACATAATTTCTTATAACGATAATGGAAAACTGTTATCAAATTATTGCATTGCCGTCGGTCCTTGATACGTGTGCGAAGAGATAGAACATACTGAATTCATGATTTAGTCCTAATGTGGATATAAAACGTGTTCTAATAAGTATTTAGCGACTTACCATTGGTACCGTTTTAGACATTATTTTGATGCGTATGTGTTACGGACAAAAGCAATAGAACTGTGGATATGTACTAGGAAGTTCACTTTCGTTTTTTTTATGAAACCTTCGTCGGTGAAGCGGCAAGCATTACCACAAATATGGATGTTTGGTGGCCCTAACTGAACAACTTTTTTATACCGAAGCAGTCTCGCAGGCAGAAGCCCAAATATCGGCGCAACGTGGCCAACAGGGAGCTTCAAGACACTTTGTTAATCTGACTTTTGAACTGCCTAAGGTTAGTAGAACCGAAAAAGCCTACTCACGCCGATTGTTCAACAATCTCGATACCCAAGGGACAAATGGGCGGCCGTACCGACCAATTCTGGATATACGAAGTTCGAAAGGTTAGAATGGGAGGCCTGAGTAAGACGGGTCTGTCTCGTGGGCTCAACGCGCGGCGGCACACATACACCCTATCAATATGTTCTTTCAACTGTATAAGGCCTCGTCTCATGCGATGAAAAAGACTTAATTGTCAACACTCGTTTTCTTTCGGTGGTGATATCAGCCGGCTGCGAGAAGATGCTTTCCAACCCGGCAGACGATTAGTGGCCAGAGGCATTTCACTTTTCATTTAGTTAGTGAAATTGAACAGCAATTGTTCCAAACAGTTACTGTTTTTTTTTTTTGTCGGAGAATGCTAATCTGCCGAGAAGGTATTTGTAAAACACTGTGATAAATAAGATATATCTCCCACACTTCTTGTGTGATGATATCTTTCTAAAATTGTTGATTTTATTCAAAACCTCAGTAAAGGGTCACCTATTACAAGCATGCTTGCAGCATTTTGAAATAGCTTCATATTTATCTTTTCTTTTGTGGTTGGACAATATACAGGGTGGCGCATCGAAAACGAAACAGACGCATTTACTGGCAGCTCAGTTTTTTTTTTTGGAAAAACGCTCAGACCGGTCGAATTTGTTTTCGATGGTGACACAAGTTTAGCAAAAAATCACGTTAACACGTGAAGCCCCCTGGGCGGGGTGACGCCAACCCTAAAATCTTAAGTGGAAAGGGGGGTTGAGTGATACCTTATTTTAAAGGTATTTCAATTCCCTTTATAATGATGTAAAATACACGAGCGTCAGTTCAGTAGTTTTGAAGATTTATTGATTTAAAGCTTAAAGTAGACTTTAATAGGTGTACATCAGATTAGTTTGTACTACTTTTAGGAGAAATTTGACTAAAAGAATTTACTTAATAAGCAAATGCTTTTCTTCACTACGCCCATGATTTGTTTATCATTGTGTTGTTGAAAATAGCTATTGGAGCGTTTGTTTGTGGCAAAAAAGTTATTTCTTGAAGAAAGATAAGGAAGTATCTCGTACTTATTTTAAATAGGAATTTAGTACATAGTTTGCGATTGATTTGACCAAACTTTGTTACTAAAATAACTTGTAACGCTTTATTACAAAAATTAACCATGGTATATTCCACAGCAGAAAGAGTTGAAATTATCCAAATATTTTTCGGAAATAATCAGTGCGCTAATAGAACAGCAGAAATATTTAATGAGCGACATGAGAACAGTAACGTACATCGAAAATATGTTCTAGAACTTGTAGCTAAATTTAGGGAAACTGGGTCAATCGCCAATAAAAACGCAACATTGAAAATACCATAAGGAACGAAGCAATAGAAGTGGGGGTTTTAGGCCAAGTATATGTAGATCCTACGTTAAGTACCCGCAAATTGGAGACTGTGTGTGGTGTTAGTCGACGTACTGGCCAACGGATTCTAAAGGTCCATAGTTTTCATCCGTATAAAATTCACCTGGTACAAGAACTTAATGAAGACGAATTTGATCGGCGATTACAATTTTGTGAAGATATGAGTGAACGAATTATTAACGATGAACATTTTCTATTCAACACTTGCTTTTCCGACGAATGTTCCTTTTTCTTAAATGGCGTAGTAAATCGTCATAACTGCCGATATTGGTCCGATTCTAATCCCAGAATTTATCATGAGGTTCATTCACAGCAGCCACAAAAATTAAATGTTTGGGCTGGTATTTTTGGCGATCATTTAGTTGGTCCTTTTTTCTTACCTGGAAATTTGACCGGTGAAATGTATTTGGAATTACTGGAAGACGCCATAGATCCTGCATTAACAGCCATCATTAAAAATCAGAATGATCGGCGGTACATTGCGAATAGGTTGATGTTCCAACAGGATGGTGCCCCACCACATTACGCATTACGTGTTCGACAATATTTAGATCAGGCGTTTCCAGATCGATGGATTGGTAGAAGAGGTGATATTGAATGGCCCCCAAGATCGCCAGATTTATCACCTTTGGATTTCTGTATGTGGGGTCATTTAAAAAGCAAAGTCTATGCTACTCAGCCAGCATCATTAGAAGACCTGCGACAAAGAATTGTGAATCAGTGCCTTCAAATTACTCCTCAAATATTGCAAAATGTGCGGCAACGTTTTGAGCAAAATCTTTATTATTGCATGGAGAGTCATGGTGGCCATTTTCAACATTTACTTGCCTAACGGGTCAGTTCATTCTTCATTTTTAAATTACTTTGCTGCCAAATGTATTGATCTCCACTAATGTTGATGTATTAGTTTTATTTAAGCTTTAAATCAATAAATCTTCAAAACTACTGAACTGAAGTACATTAATTTTATATCATTATAAAGGGAAGTGAAAGACCTTTAAAATAAGGTATCACTCGACCCCCCTTTCCATTTAAGATTTTAGGGTTGGTGTCACCCCCGCCCTGGGGGCTACACGTGTTAACGTGATTTTTGCCAAACTTGTGTCCCCCTCGAAAACAAAATCGACGGGTCTGAGCGTCTGTATACGTAGAGGTATCGTTTCTCAAGCAATACTCTTCCAGCGAGACGTCTGCTGGTTGAAGCTTCCATTTTCTTACTCCAATCGATCATTTCATTGCATCATGAATTAATCATCACGATTACGTTTTTTCAACGTTTGAGCACATTGCCATGGTTATCGATATCATATTTGGTCGAAATGGTATAATTTTCTTAACGAAAACCTATAAAAATGTTAATTTCTCTTTTATTGTTGTTGTTTAGTTGTTATCTGGGAATTCTCTCAAACATCGTATGAAACAACTTATACATTTTAAATGGAACATTACATCAAGGCAATAGACTAGAGGCAATATTGTACTTTTCCAAAAATTAGCTACCAAACAGGTTTTCGCTACGAGCTGTTTATTGTACTTAAACAGTTTTTCGTAATGAGTTCACTTATTCAGATAAAATGTTAGTAGCCAGACTATTTATTGAAATTACCTAATTACTATTTTTTAATTGCAGGTAAACATGTCAACGTACTTACAGGGCCTATTTAGAGTAAGTTTTTAACAAATTGAAATAACCTGTCAATTATGTCCCTTATGAACTTTGGTTGAATTGTTTTCACTTCACCATGACTCAAAGTATTGTAAATCAGGCTTATCGATAATCGTATACACTGAAAACCAAATTTGTCTGACGGCTTGAGTTCCATATGTTAGAAAGAGGTAGATGCCGCGTTGCCTAACATCGCTTACGCACACTGCTGTGTTACCATGTTAGACCAGTTCCTTGAATTAAGATGCATATTGAAAATAATGGTGTTATTTTAAGCGTACATTTTTTAATTGTGAATTGCATTGAATCTGTTTAGGATCGATTCCGGATCTGTCTAAAAATGCTCCATTTTAGGTTGAAATTAAAGATCAGGATCGCCACAAATTCTGCTACATTAAATCATTAGTTCCCATCACAACACCTCATCTTGTACATTCCAAGGCAAGGTTTCCATCTCCATGATCATAGTTGAGCGAGTTTGGTCAGTTACCATCTAGCGCTCATAGGAGAGTACACGCACGCAGTGATAATTTGTATTGCGTAATGGTATTTGTTAAATTTTCCGACCGCTAGCTGTTCCAAATAACTCACTGTGTTGATTTTATTACCATCGGTGGAAATCAATGATAATTGTAAAATAAATTAAGACACTTTGTCAAAATTGAAATAAATAAATATTAAATTGAAAGTTCGAACAGACCTCCTTCTTGGGTTTGACAGTAGGTTAGGTTAGGTTTTTTGTGAGTGTATCAATAACGATCCTCCACTGCGGCTCTCTGGTCTACTGTGGCTCACACCTATTTATATTTCCCCCAGTACCTCCGTCCTCCTGAGGAAGTCGATTAACTTGTTTGGAGAAATATCCTTCAGGTCTTCTGCTTGGAGTACTACGTCTCCAAGTATGTTGTACCTGATTCTGGCAATTGCAGGGCATCTGCAAAATACATGCCTGACCGTTTCATCTCCCTCCATGCACAGTCTGCACTCAGCGTCTTCTGCCATGCCCAGCCTGCTCATGTCGTGACGCAATTTGCAATGACCAATGAACAGTCCTACTAGAGCTTTAAGGCTATTCCGGTTCAGCTGTAGCAAAGAGTCTGTTACCTTCTTGGTCAAGATTGGTATAGTTGCCTCAGCATGGGTTAACCCTGCTAATCCCTCCCTTTCTGTCCTCTGCAGGTATTATTTGTTTAGCCGTATTGTATGCGATCTCAATCGCTGGCTAAGGCCCTATAAAGGGTATGCTAGTCCCACTCTTTGCCAGAGGGTCAGCTGTCTCTCTAGACCTGTGTGTCCTGGTATCCATATGAGACGGACTTCATTTCCCTCCCTATGTCACCGAGAGCTTCTTTGCAATTCCACACTAATTTCGATGTCGAGTAGGTGGAGTCAAGTGCTTT